CAGTGCAGCGGGAAGCACAATCAGCCGTTTGTTCCACGTGCCTGATCGCCAGACAAAGATCAATACCTGGTGGACACCGACGCTGAAGTCAGTATCATTCCTCCTACGCTGGAGGATCGTCGGCACCGACAACGAACCCAACCACTCCAGGCGGCAAATGGATGGGCGATAAAAACGTATGGACAGAGATCCCTAACCCTCGATCTGGGACTCTGGCGCGTGTTCCGCTGTGTATTTTTGGTGGCAGACGTGCGTTTCGCAATCATTGGGGCAGACTTCCTTCGAAATTTCGCCCCCATCGTGGATGTCAAGCGCCGTCTTCTCCTTGACTCAACAACACACCTCAGTATGCGAGGCGTACTATCAAAGGCACTATCTTTAAATTCTACTGTACAACCCCTCAAAATGGCTGCTCCGTGGGAAAACCTTTAAAGGAATTCCCAGCGCTAACGCAGCCATGCAACACCGAGGCACCAGTCAAACACAACATCACACATTGCATCGACACCAAAGGCTCTCCAGTCTTCGCCAAGCCACGCCGCCTCGCCCCGGACAGGCTAAAAATCACTAAAAATGAATTCGAACACATGCTGGAACTCGGATTCATTCGTCCATCGTCCAGCGTGTGGTCTAGCGCCCTGCACATGGCACCAAAAAAATCTGGTGACTGGCGACCATGCGGGGATTATAGAGCCCTCAACAAAATCACGGTGCGGGATCGGTACCCGATTCCCCACATCCAAGATTTTGCTGGGGCACTACACGGATCGACAATCTTCACAAAGATAGATCTTGTAAAGGCATATCATCAAATACCGGTCGAACCATCTGACATCCACAAAACTGCAATCACAACACCATTTGGCATGTTTGAGTACATACGGATGCCATTTGGTCTCAGGAATGCAGCACAAACCTTCCAACGGTTCACGGATCAAGTTCTTCGTGGATTAAACTTCTGTTTCGCCTACATCGATGACACCCTCGTCTTGAGCAAAACACGCGAAGAACAGGAGGACCACCTCCGACAGCTCTTCTCTCGCCTCCACAACTACGGTGTCGTCCTCAATGCGGCCAAATGCAACTTTGGCGTCGCCGAATTGGATCTCTTGGGGCATCAAGTGGACAAGCATGACATCCGTCCCCTGCTGGACAAGGTGAACATTATTCAACAGTTTCCCCAACCACAAACAACACAGAAACTACATGAGTTTTTAGGGCTCATAAACGTTTATCGACGATTCCTTCCTAACTGCTCTAGAACTCTTCAGCCACTCAACCGTTTTCTCACTGGAGATCCCAAGCAGTCCATCCCACTTGAGTGGAACGAATCTGCACTCAACGCCTTCGAGACAAACAAGAAGCAACTTGCCGAAGTCACAACATTGGCCCATCAGAAACCTAACGCACCACTTTCTCTTGTCACCGACGCCTCCGATGGAGCAGTTGGTGCCGTACTCCAACAGTTTACCGACTGCGGGTGGCAACCACTCTCCTTTTTCTCAAAGCAAACGACACCCACCGAAACCCGGTATAGAACATTCGGGCGTGAACTTTTAGCAATCTACCTGGGCGTTAAACGCTTCCGCCATTTCCTGGAAGGACGTCAATTTGTTATCCTGACAGACCACAAACCCCTAACATATGCCCTAACATCAAACAGCTCCTCTTACACAGCAAGGGAAGTCCGACAGATGGCTTACATCTCGGAATACACTAGTGACATCCGTTTCATCAACGGCAAAGAAAACACCGTCGCCGACGCGCTATCCCGGATCGGTGTCAACACCTTTACAGCTGAACAGACAGCTATCAATTTCCAGGAATTGGCCGCCGCCCAACAGCTCGACGAGGAACTTCAGCACCTTCGCTCTTCGTCAACAGCGCTGGTCCTCGAAGACATTGCAGTTCCTGAATGCAACAAAACACTTCTCTGCGACACTTCCACTGGCCGTCCTCGACCTTACGTGCCGACACCGTTTCGACGAGTCGTCTTTGACACCCTTCACTCACTCTCCCACCCAGGGATACGTGTGTCACAAAGCCTCATCTCAGCTCGATTCGTTTGGCCAAGGATGAAGTCAGACATTAGAAACTTCGCACGGGCATGCCAACAGTGCCAGCGAGCCAAAATCCATCGCCACACAGTGACACCCGTAGGCACATTCCAACTTCCCGGTGCCCGATTCAACAACGTACACCTAGATATCGTGGGACCGCTGCCTCCGTCTCACGACTATCGTCACCTGCTGACGTGCGTGGACAGGTTCACTCGCTGGCCAGAGGCAATGCCTATGAAAGACATAACCGTGGAGAATGTCGCCCACACACTTATTACCATGTGGACCAGCCGTTTTGGTGTGCCGGCGACAATAACAACCGATAGAGGCAGACAGTTCGAAAGTCTTCTCTTTCATAAACTGTCAACTCTTCTCGGTGCCCACCACATCCGAACAACGGCATACCGTCCCTCCTCCAACGGGCTCGTGGAAAGGTTTCACCGACAGATGAAAGCGGCACTCAGAGCGCACACGTCACTAAGCCCATGGACCGAAGTCCTACCAATGGTGCTGCTGGGCATCCGCACTGCCGTGCGAGTAGAACTTAAATGCACCTCCGCCGAAATGGTCTACGGCACTACCCTCCGACTACCCGGTGAATTTTTTCAGACAACTGAAAAGAGCAGTCACATAGACTGCGAGAACTACGCCAGCCGATTACGCTCGGTTCTCCAAAACATCCAACCAATCCAAACCAGGACTCAGTCACGCAAGGTCTTCATAAGTCCCGACCTTCACCACTCCAGTCACGTGTTCGTGCGAAAGGACACGGTGCGACGTCCACTACAGTGTCCCTATGACGGACCCTATGCAGTACTGCAACGAACTGACAAAACATTCACGCTTTCAGTCAACGGCCGAACAGAAGTAATTTCAATTGACTGCATTAAGCCTGCACATCTCGCAAACAATGAGCCACAAGAAATTGATGCAACTTCGTTCACAAGCACATCACACACATCGCTCGTATTACTCACAACCTCGCTAGGGGGGGAACCATGCAGCGGCTCCCAGCGAAGCGCGAAAGAAGTGAAAGAAGTGCCCGCGCGATCACGGCCTCTCTCGGCGCTCGAGACAAGACAGACATCGAGGAACAACGGCACCCGCAAGATCGGCTCGTCACGTCTCAGATTTAACATAATGTAAATAGTGTAAATAAATTAGTTGAAGCTCAGTACGCTTCAAGTATTTACATGTGCTGACGCCTGCAACAGTAACTTATTAAAAGAAAATCGGAAACGAATGGCACGTTCCTTCAGGTCCTTCAAGCGTGTGAGGCATCTGCACCCCCATTCCGAGCATTTCCCGCTGTGCTTTGGCAATTCGTCAAAAAATGTATTGCGTGACTTTTCGACCTTTCTTCACCAGTCATCTTCTAATAAAAAGAGAACGGGTTTACTAGCGATATCACGAAGAGCGTAGCGAGTTGCAAAAACGGTTGCGGGGAAGTAGGTACGGTTGGAGTAAATACTTTTCAAGTAGCTGGATATGGAGCTAGAATTCCCAAAGTAGCTAAATTTGGAGCTATACTTCAAAGCAAGCGCCAAATTATTTGGGGCGACCTCATATTGGCCGCCCTAAAACATCTGCCGCCGTAGGCAGCCGTCAACTCTGCCTACTGGTAAGTCCGCCCCATTCTCGTGATTTCAGGTCACGTCAGATGGATTCCTCTGCCAAGCTTAGCGCGAAGGTGAATTAATGCGCAGGTCACGTGAGGTCAATTTCCCAACTAAATTTAGCGAGGAGGCGAAATTAGTGTAGACGTCAAGTGACCGGGACATCAGCTTCTCCGAGAAATTCAGCAGGGAAGCTGAATAAATGTACAAGACACGTGATTTCAGGTCACGTGACATAAACTAAATTGGTTTGCAGGTCACGTCACCTCGGGTCACGTGACGTTGATTTTTTTTTATGAAATGTACCGTGGAAACTGAATTAATGTAACAATCACGTAACGTCAATTTTTCAGCTAAATTTAGCGGAAAAAAATTAATTAATGTACAGGTCTCGTGACTTCTTATCACGTGAGGTTACTTTGTCTTCTAAATTTAGCGGGAAGCTAAATTAATATACAGGTGACATGACCTCTGTTCACGGGACGTCAATTGTCTCTTTAAATTTAGACGGAAGATGGATTAACACACATGGGTCACGTGACGTGAGTTTCCACGCTAAATTTAGCGGAAAATGCACGAACGGACTGACGGATGGATACAAAGTTTGGGATTCCGGGGGTTCCGTTAAAAAAACATTTCATGCTTTACAACAAAAAGTTACGAAAAAAAAAAAAAGAAACCGCGCAGACTTATGTATGGCTAACTTGTTTCAGAATGTTTTAGGTACGTATAAATCACAAGGTTAAGTATTTTTGACTTGCTAGCATTGTAAGAAAATAAAGCTTCTTTTATTAACGCATTACATTATGTTAATTGCAACATTTATTAGGAAAACACACAACCAGGTGCAACAATACTTGCTAGACAAACCAAGAAAGCACAACATGTGAGCTCTGTTTAAATATTACAACAGTTAGGCACGAGAGAGCGGTGAAAAGCTCCGCGGTAGGAGAATCTTTTTATAAAACTACAACTAAACACTTTACACTTTCGTGTCATGTCGCCGGTAACTACTAAGAAGGTACCTGCGTAAAGGAATACACAGAAGCTTGATTCATTTTAATTTGTATTTTTAACGAGAATCAACGACGTAACGACCACAATAAACACACCGAAATTTGATTCCGTTAAATAAAACATACACATTTATTAAAGCTCTTTAACACTAACTAGAGGACGACACACGAGACACACTTAGCCATGGGCACGCGACACGAATGATGAACACATTCAGTTGAAGCAGTTTCAGAAAGATGCGAATACGTCTTCAAAAGCAACACAGTGAAAGTTGAAGTTAGACAACACATGTTTATGGGCAACTAACTTATCGCCGAATGTAACGTGCTCCAAGCCTAGTGCCAAAAGGTCCGTACTCGACGTCCTTGGACAATTCGTCCTCAGCATTGATGGCCGACTTGGCCCACGGCTCGGCGGAAGTGGCCCCCGTCTTGGGCCATGGATCCTCAGCAGTGACGGCCGACTTGCCCCACGGCTCGGCAGCAATCGCCCCAGTCTTAGGCCACGGGTCGACAGTGGCAACGGCCGACGGCACCACCGACGAAGCCGCTGCGGCGTACGAGAAAGATGGACCGGACAATTTGGTACCGTACGCCGGCGCAACAACGGTAGTTGGGGTGTAGGAGGCGGACTTGAGGAGCTCGCCGCCGCCGTAATAACCGGAGGACGGGAACACCGCTTTCCGTACGACCACCTTGGAGGCCCCGGAGTAAGGCAGGGTCGGCACGAAGCCCGAGCTGAAGGCTGCGGCCGGGACCGTGCGCACAACGACCCTGCGGCCGAAACCGGGACCGGTCGCGAAAGACGAGAATGCGGGACCTGTCGAAACGGAGGAGAAAGCCGGACCTGCCGAAACGGAGGAGAAAGCCGGACCTGCCGAAACGGAGGAGAACGCGGGACCGGATTGGAATACCGGAGCTGGCGAATACGAGTACGCAGGTCCTGTCGCGGGGAGGAATCTCTTGAAGGTCGTGACTGCTGGAGCGGCAGCGTACGTCGCTACGGGAGCTGGACCGGCTGGACCGGACAAAAAGTGTGCTGGACCCACGGGAGCGGACACAAGGGGAGTGGATACGACGGGAGTGGATACGGCGGGTGCGGATATGACGGGAGGGGGTCCGACAGGCGTAGCCTCGAAGGTTGTTGCCACCGGAATCACCTTCTGGGGAGGCGGCGCCACGGGCACTGGAACAGTGGGTTCCTGGGGTACGTTGATGGCTACTCCAGCCGGGGTAGACGGGGCTGTTCCCGGTTCGTTGGTGGTGATGGTGGCACGGAATCCGTGTTCGTCGGCGACGTACTTTACGATGCGTACGCGGCCGTCGGCGTCGGTAAGGCCGTAGGAGCCGTATTTGCGACCGTACGCGTCTCCGGACTCTTGGCGAAAGGAGCCGCCGCTGGTGTGCTTCTCCTCGTAGCCGAAGTCATAGTTTCCGTGTACCTGAAAACCGGAGAATACAATTCTTGTGTTAAACTCAGGTCAAGGCAAAGGAGGAAAACGAAGCATCACTTTTACCAATCTTACAACATTACTTTTACTCGATATAATTTTACACTAAATTAATTTCGACTAAACACAACGAAATTTAAATATAGAAATAAGGCCTAAACACAATTCTACGACTATACTTTCCAACCCTTAAAAATACACAATGAACACCTTGCTCCCAGCGCGAGCATTTATCTAAGAAATCTTTGTCCGGAACGCCATGGCAATAAGCAAGATAACTCCAAAAGATATCCTGTTTTCATTATGTCGACTAGAGTTCTGGACGAGCCCGGGTCAAACTGAATGCTCGTGCCCGGCCCGTGGGACGGGCCGGATCGCGTAGTACGCAATGTTTTCGGGCACGGGTTCGGTCCAGAGGCGTGCTTCCTCTTCCTCTCTAGAGGCACCTCCAGCCGGATAGTGCTCGGGCCGGGCCTGATCGTAGGCATCCCATCGGGCCGGCCAGCGTTGGGTAAGGCTGAGACTCGATCGACGTGCATGGGTCGGGTCAGGCCTCAAAATCAAAAGGTTGGCTTGAGCAATACTGTAACATAGGCACTCCGCTGTGATATCAAAACTCTTGGTATAAAACGCATGTTTTCACACTCTGATGCCAAATTTGAGAGTGCTAATATAGAAGTGTTTTCCTGGAGATAATTTGTTTCTTGCATACCACTGCTCTTTCATTATCGGTGATAGGATAAGAAGGCAGTAGAGACTGACTCCAGCGATGTGATATACAGTAAATGCAGTGTCCGTTGCCTTCCTCCGAGCTTTGCCTGCCATGGTGACGAACAAGCATCAAAAACAGAAAGCTCGCGCTGGAGGAGGAACGTCGACTGCATTCTTTGTCTGCCACCAACTATAGTCAAAATGTTATTGAAGTATCGACAATAAAAAATTAAAGGTAAAAGTCACAGAATGTACTAGTACAGTTCTGCTTTGTTGTGCAATAATTAAAGCATCCTTCGCGACTCCAGGCCTTCTATAATCATGATAACTACAAAATTCGTCGAGCGTTTAATGCTCCTATCCTTGACACTTTACCCGCCACAACTGGCGACGATTTGAGAGACAGTGAAGATAGTCAAATGAAGCTCGCGATCGAGTTTAAGACGTCAGCTGACAATTTTATACAATACTCGGCCATCGAAATGTTGCGATGTTTAATTATAATGGTTACCTATTCAAACACTTTCAAGGATCATCAGAACTTTCGCGTACAATATTGTGCTTTGCATAAATCATGCAACATTATCAAACAAGATGTAGGCTGGAATGCGACTACCATTGATATAATATTTCACTCACGACCTACCGCAGTACCCTTCCTTCTAGAACGTTACATTGTCTCAGAAGGAACTCCCCAGTATTGTGTGATACAAGCCGGTGTCGCTAGATTTGTCAACCGGAAGCAGATAACCGCGACGACAATAGAAAGAGGGACCCACACAATTGTCTGCAAGGACGACCGAGCCATGTATTACCAACCGGATTTTCACCTTTAATTGCAGCAGTACGAGCTCAAGGGCGCTGCATTTGGATCTTGGGCACGGAGGCAACAAGCTGAGACTTCCTCTCAACACTAATTAAATGATTCAGGATTAGCTCCTCTGCTCTGGCAACAGTGCAAGAACGAAACAAGAGTAGGGTAGGATGCACTTGGTTGGGTAAGAGAAAAATTTAGGAATATATCCGTTTAGTTTCTGTTGCAATCGGTTTGAGTACAGTCTTTAGTAGGGATACTTTACTATACGCTGTGTTCCTTCATTGTAAATAGCAATGCGAGACGTCACTTTTTTTCTAAAGGATAAAATATTGTTTTTAAACAATAAATTTTCAGCTAGAAGACAACAATTATTCCGACACTTTCTGCAGTCCTCGAGGCTAGTATGATTCCTCTTTAAGGTGATCACAACTTCAATATATTGCAAAGGCTGTCATAGGATATGACCTAAAAATATACCGGGCCTAAGAATAAAAAGTATATATTCCTGAGAGTCTCCTTAAATGACTTTAGATGGTATTATAACTGGCTATAATTCTTATGTGGAATCTAACGATGCCTTCATTTCGGCTGAAATAAATTTTTACAACATTTTGAGCAGGACCGATGGTCGCAGGGTTCTGGAGATGAGTTATAAATAACTTTGAATGGTCTTGAATTGTTTGAATTGATTGAAGTGTTTCAAGAGTTTGTAGTGTTTGAAGTATTAATATGCATCACAATTATATTAGTGATGCATATAGAGCTCATTTTAGGCAACAATAAAGTTATGCAGAACAGCACACAAGTCTAAAGGGTATTTTGAATACTTGTGGAAAAAACTTAAGACCTATATATCTGCTCTGAACAGAAGGATTTCTGAAGCCCGCGGTAAGCGTGTAATCTGTGAAATATTCTCAGAAACCCGAAATTCAAAGTGCTGTGTTACAAATATTGAAGTCCTATTTTCAAAGCAATAATTGACGTCATACATATCCTGATTTAGACCATATAAATCATCGCCATTCCGCTCTTGGTTAGCGATAGTTTTGATAAATGTTATAGAATATATTACCTTGGTTTTTAAAAGTTTGGACAGATGAAGTCATAACAGTTTTAGTTGTTTCCTCTGGGTTTATCCTAGTTTTACCATGCATCGACAAAAAATGTCACCTATTTTATATTTTTCCCTATGCCTTAGAATAGGAGTTAAACAACAGACAATAGCACACCGCTATCACCATAGGCGACCACAAGCAGTGAAGAAAACAAGGATTTTAGACTTACATCTTGATTTCGGTGCTGTGTTGACGTCCCACTCTCTTCGACAATTACGGCGCCATGTGTTGGAGCTTCCACAACACCACTCTGGGCGCCTCTCAGCACCAGGGCGATTAATAGTAGGAATGTCTGTAAAAATATGTATAATACTTCAGAGTCAGTAGTTAAAATTAACAATTATTACTTTTGTCAATGAAAAGTAAATACAATTTCTGTCAGACCCAATTATATGACCGCTGTATGATTCATAAAGTTTGCTATTTTAACATGTATGATAAACAAGTGGCGCTGGATTGACTTCGTCTGGACACGTTGTGCCGTCGAAACGAATGAATACCTCAGCATCTAAGAGCCTAATATATTTATTCTAGGAACGCCTAAATTCATGGAGTTGTGTGCGTGGAAAAATATAAATATTTTAACAGCCTGGTTCAAAAAATTTGTTGTGTGCGCGAAGAAAAGTAAAGAGCAAACACGTTCTCGAGAGCTATATACATATTTAATTAGGGTGTGTTAGCGTTTTATGTAGAGTGTCTAAAAAAGTTAGATGAGTTACTCGCTTGTCTTGCATCCACATCTAAAAGAACTTACCTTTATGTTGTTACAAATAAAAGCATCAAGATCAATTGGGGCGCTAGTTGGTTGAACATCTAGGCGGTGATTTAAAAAGCGCAAATGACTGAGAAGAGAAGGGGACAGGAAAGAGCGCTTACTTAACCGTCAATTTAATAGAGCATCCAGAGAAAGACAAGGTGGAAGTGAAGAAAGAGAAAAAAAAGATAAAAACAAAAATATTTTCTCCTTTTTCACTTTACCCTTGTCTTTCTCTAGATGCTCTATTGAATTGACAGTTGTAAATAAGCGCTCTGTCCTATCCCTTTCTCTACTTAGTCATTTGCGCTTTTTCAAACCACCGTCTAGATACAAATACAAGATTTGCATTGTTCATCTCATAGGACATCGTGCTAGCTAGGGTGAAACATGTTCTGTAGCTCAATCTGTGCACTTTTAGGCATATGATTTGTACCGTCTCTATAGTTTACTAAATCATTGTAGCTTTTTAATTAAGTTTGATTGTTGTGAAGCTTGCGCGGAGGCGTATATGTAACGGATTCTCGGTTGCTGCGGCATTCTGTTTTCTTTAACTTAACCTTCTGTACAGGAATATAACGTCCTTCGTAGAATTGTGAAGATTAAGCCTGTGTAGTATGTACTTCGTTGGTTTTTATTTCACCCCCTTCTCTGGCATCTGAGTATTTCGAACCATGCCGCGGTCAAATGAGTTTGTCAAGCTTGTATGCGTATTCCCCTAACTTATGTTTCTACAAATATCTTGCCAATAACACAAACTAAAAAGAAGAAAGAAATGTACGTGCTCTAAACATTTGTGTTTATTCTCTCACCCGGTTCTTTGCGCAATCTTCGCCACAAGGTGGAATCCGTACTACTTAGACTACCCTATCACTTTGAGATATTAAGAGGATCATAAGTGGATGCATGCTTCTTGGTAATTTATGGTTATATTTAGCCAACAAATATAATTTTTAAAAATCAATAAAGATGTTTTGTAGTCTCTTAAGCTTTTTTTATCCAACAATATATTGTAATTTTCTACTTTTTATATTATTTGCCCCATAGATATATCGAACGTGGAAGAAATAGTATCAAACGCATATAAGTCCTCATAAAATCTCATATTGTCTTATGTGTTTCTGAAGAGGTGCAGATATTTTTTGTCACTGTTGTTAGCAACTAAATTTCTATTCAAATAGAATAGCCACTTGAATGAAAAGCAAAGTCTACTCCTATCTGCCATCGAATAATAGTATGGCCTTAATTTCTGAACGTGAAAAATCTATATATCATCTCCCCCTTGCCGCCCGCGTCTCGTTTGTTTTGTTTGCAACAAAGCTTACATGAGCGAACTTGATGTTCTCTTAATGACAGGTAAATTTTTTAAATTAGCTTGCCGCAGTCAGCGCTTTCTCGATTGCATTTTTAGCTTTTAGCAGCACCTAACTTAAAAAAAGAGGCACCAAAAAATCTAGACTGACGCGTGTTTTAAGTTTAGATACCTACTTACATTGTCATTCTCTATTTTTTCTCTTGTTTTCTAGTCTAATTTTTTTTTATTAAAAAAACTATAAACAAGAACACGATAAAACCATAGTATTGGTAATAGTTAGATTGTATCTTCAACCGGAACTTTGTCGGATGAAGATTGTTTAATTAGATCTTTGAATTAGGACACCGCTCTGTAGTACGGGCACGGCGAAGGGGAAATATCAGCTTGGAAGTTTTCTTTGAGCAAATTAATGTAGTCTCTCCCCCCCCCCCTTGTTTTAACAACAAGGGGCAGCAGAGATAATGTCAATTGTCTCTGCGATCAATGGGTTTCTATAGTTTGTTAGGTGGTAAAGCGTTTCCTATTCTTGTTTCCAAAATCCTTATAGGCCATATTTCATAAAGTTTTATAGCAATATTCATTTTAATCGAATAGCCGTCCTGTAGAGATACGCGCGGTTTGAAATTCTTTGATTGCTTTAATACGCCGATATGCGAGATTTGTTGGATGATTAATGACGTGTTGAGCACGTTAGGCTTGCTTTACTGTTTCATACGCCATACCTAATATATATATATATATATATATATATGTTTTTTAATGTGTTTTTTTTTTGCATTTTACAAGTTTAGTTAGATGCTTGAAAGTTCGCTTAGTCAAGTTGTATATCCAAGTTAAATCAGGCTCAATTTAGGCACCTTGTTGTGTCCTCTTACCAACCTATATTTTTCGTACCGGTCGAATACTTTGTTAAAACAGTTCACCTCTCACACACAATACTGTATCTAGATGACTACCGCGCTGCGTTGAAAGCCAGTAAAGTGTCATACTGCTAGCGCGAAGAAGACATGGCCGGCATTTTTTGGGGTGCCATGAAACCTACTATAGTCACTGACAATGTGAGAACAGCAAGAAGGAGTTTCAGTTGTCCCCCTCCCTCCCCCCCCCCCCAGCACGATCTTCCCACCTTCATTAAACTTTATGTAACCGCGCACCCCAAAGAAAAGCACGCTAAGGACACATGCACACAAAAAAAAAAGAAACACTCACTTAGCGCTGACTGACAACTCTTTGTTTGTGTATCGTTGTTAGTTCTATCTTTTCCTTTTCTGCCCCTATGTAACACAAAGCCAAACCAAAAAAAAAAAAAATCTCAGCCACGGTCAGAAAAAAATATTTTGGCCAAATAATACATCTTTTTTTTTTCACAAGGTTCTTGACGCGGTGCTAACAAATGTGTTGTCCGGACTTATGTCCTCGGCTTCCATGATTTCCCGTATGAATTGGTTGCAATTACTGCTTAACATGGTACAGTTTTTTAAATGCGCCGAACAACCACAATCACGAGAGTAAATTCCTAAGTGCCCAGAGTTGGTGTTGACGATGTATTTGTTATGCTCGCTAAGGGGGTGGGTAAGACAACGTGCTCTTTGTACTATATATTGTCTTCGACAGGAAATGAGGAAGGAACAAATCATCCCTTCTTTGCAAGGAACACAGTCGATTTAATGCTTCTGTGTGCAGCTTACTGTTTTATTTGAAGGTGCGTTTACTATTTTGGTCAGGCTGTCAAGTCTGTTGGGAGCTGAAAAGATGATTTGAATATTTACTCTGTTGGCTATTTTCTTAAGGTCGTAAGTGAAATTCTGAATATTCGGCCCCGATTGCCAGTTTTCCTGTCCTCTCTCTGTGGTTTTATTTAACACTGTCGATGTCTTGTTCGCAGTAACAGTGTCACACAATATGTGTTGTATAATTAGAATGTCGAAATACTGATACGAGACATTATTATTTTATTTCTCTCAGTAATTATTTGTAATTTCAACATTTTAACTCTAGATTGTTAGGTCGACGAACGTCCTAAAGGAAACAGTAGATGCAACAAACTTGCATTCTACTAAAATCATATACTACACTATTTCTATAATACTTCGTTGAAAATCGAACGCCAAATCACATTAAATTCATAGTAATATCAAAGCGAGGCACGTAGCAAAGCTCCATGAAGGCTCACTGCAGAGCCTGAAGTTGCCTCATATGAAACATTCTTACTATGGAGCATGAGTATATAAATTGTTCACTCTGCTAAACATATGTGATAATGATGGGTTTGATTAATGGGAAAAACTAAGAATATAGTTTTGGTTGCCCGTTATGCCAATATATTTATGCCCCTTTTTGTCCTTCAGAACAGAAAATAGAGAACTTTTTTTCTAGGTTGTTGTAGGAGTTATGTCTCGAAGAAAAAAACAATATCGAATGTCATTTAGACTCAAAAAGCTGTCGTCCTCGCAAATGAACTGTACAAATGCATGCTGTACAAATGCAAACGGCAGTCAGCAAATACGAACAATGCCTTCCGATATGTGACAGTAATCTAAAACGATACTCCCGAGAAGTTGCGTCGGCCGAAAACGTACAACAATATCGCGCATGCGCGATGGCTCCCGGCAGGTTTGGGAATACTTATGGGAATGCAAAAGGAATATACTGACTCACTCACCGATTAGATTCTTTTGTTGTTGTTTGTGAAAAGAAGTATAAGTTGTTGCCTCCTTTTATATAAGGTTTTTTTCCTCCACAAACCACGGATATATTTTAGGTACCAATTACATACTCTACTGAGAATACGAGTCATATTTCGAATGTTTTGTTTTCGGTATTTCATATGCTTTGTTAGGCTTCTTGACACTAACATTTATGTATCTTAAGAATGAACCGCCTAAGACGTATCCGCCTAATGGACCCCGAAAAGTTTTATCAATTATCCAATCCCTCATTTAGTAACGGGTACGTCAACAGTCGTTTGCAGAAGAACCCCCCGTCCCCCTAATCCAGAAACACGCATATGGTTCCACTCACCTTCATGACTGCTTCGCGCGACGGTTGACACTCGGACAATCCCGGTATCCCAACTGGCACTTTAAACTTCCCCTCCTCGTCTCTCGTATATATAGAGAAGCCCCTCCCAGTCCGTTTAAGATTCAAAGCAGGAACCGTCGGGCACAATGAGTCTAATTTTTTTAGTACCTATTTTTTCGTTTTCCGGCTCCCACTTCGTCCGTTTCCCCGTGTCTCTCATACGCTCCACCCCTCTTCTCCCCTCCTTAACGTTGCGTTTCTTAACACCACGGTAACGTTTCGGACATCTCGTTCAGTCTTGCATTTTTCTTTTGCTTTTGTTTGCTGAGCTTACGTCGTCTCATAGCGGCTTAGTGGCCCCACATTGTCTGCGCGACGGACGAAAGATTGGAAAGGGGGCGAGGTAGCCTCGCCCAGACGGGGCCGCCAAAGGGGGGGTTCGAGGCTACGGCGTTAGTGTTTTTCCCCTCCACTAATTATGCGATGCCGACTGAGAGACACTATGCACCTGATATCGGTGCGGCTTTCACTTTAACAAGTCTCCGCCGCCGCGGCGAGCATTCGACGAATCGCTGTATTATTCCGCTTTGAATTCGCGAGTTAAAAGAATTCCGACGCGGGCTCGGAGGAATCAATGCCAAGATCTAAACTTCCGATAAGTTCGATGACGCATAGAAAGCGAACGTCGCTAAAACCCCTTTCTTCGACATTGAGCTTCTTTTTCGGACGCCGCTGGGTCAGGGTATTAGGGGTGCCCGATGGGTGGGTGAAGAGTGGACGCCATTCTCTGTACATGTCACTTCGGAATTTCGGTGTCTTTTGGTATCTCCGACTATTTTCGCTCATTCGATGTGATTAGTGGTTCACGTTAGATGTGGCGAAAGAATACTGATGCAAGTATCGCAATAAAAACAGTTTTCTAATATCTCAATCGCGGTTTCAGGAAAAACAGATCGGATCTCAACATGATGTTTGCGATTCGCGATTGACCCTACTTTCCTTTCGTGGGTTCTACCCATTTCAATTTATATTTGTGTACGTCCAGTGTCTCCGACGCTAAGCAACTCTCCCACGCTGCCCAACTGATTGGGAGCGGCGATTTACAAAAGATTTCTTTTCGTAAACAAGATCAAGCGACCGAGTCTCCCGCTGCGCTTGTACTCTAACCGGACGTTTCGGTGTCATTAAACGACTTTTGTTCAATAAACGGAGTGGATTATCAGAAATGCATTCGAAGAATCGGGTTCGGGTACCTTAATTTGTTTTCTCTTTGTTTTGTTTTTCCTAAAAAAGAAATGCCGCCTTGAATCCCCGTTTCGAGTGGACGGGGAAGTTCGGCTGCCCCTGTGTTATCAGATTTACGAATGGCGTCCCCCTGTTTGAAATGCAGTCGGCGCGCGGTACGGGAATTATGTTTGTGTGGCTTATCGTCCGGCGTGTGTCCTTGTCCCCGTGACGTCTGAATGAAGTCACGTGGGTATCGTAACGGCATTGAAAGGGAATTATGGCCATTATCGGGCGTGAGCTTCATGGTTCTTTCTCCCGCGTAACGGTGGCAAAGCGATTTATCGCGTATTTGTTTCTGTTCATAGCGCGAAGAATACATTATACTATGTCACGTTCTACCGAAGATTAATTGTAGCAGGTGTTAGAACACTTTATCTTCATACTTACCTGATAAATCTTTATTAAAGGCGACATATCTTAACGCAAAAGAAGCGACAGTTGTGAGAACTACGAAAAGTGAGATCAATGGCATCATGACGAGCATAAATTTTATTACCACTGTAAAGTCCAGGGATACAAACACAATGAACTTATTATGTCATATATTCAGTTATAGACAAGCCCGAAAAAGAAAAGCTGCGCACTAAGCTGAAGAGTTATATGCCCATGAAATCCTCAAAAGGAGTAGTAATCAAGCCATACTCAGCTCGGTTAGGCACGTCGGTTTGCTAATCAACCAATTCCCCCCCAACCCTCCAAAAACAGGAAGTTTTTATTACTGCGTTAGCATTAGTACCTATATGACCGCGAAAAGCAGACGCCGTCCGTCTGCGGACAAAGAAGTGGAAAGGTAGGCGCCTTGCGTAGAGAGGAGCAGAGTAGTGAAGGACAAAGGCGAAAGGGAGGCGACGTCACGGGGCGGAAGAGAATGCGTGCGCGGGAAACCGGCGAACCGCGAAAGCAGCGTCAGGCTGCGGATGCCCCTGCTAAGCCTGAAAGGCGGGCAAATGAGGAAGAGAAGCGGAAGCAGCGCCTAGCCGATACCCCTACAAGACAAGGCCTGCGCGTGGCGTCATCGTTAGTAGATCCCCGACCCTCCCTAAACGGCAGACACCCCGAAGCTTGACGAAGGTACAGTGCCCCTCAAACTTAACGCCGCCACTAAATCCTCCGGTTTATTCATTTGTTGAGCTATTCCTGTACCTAGTGGTCGAACTACTTGGTGAACATTTGCGTCCCCGATAAGAACCCAACTAGGGGAAGGTATTCGAGCAGCTGCAGCGACCAATTTATCTTTGGGTAGCATGCAATAGATCAATATTTGCGTAACCGAGTGTAACCGAGTGGCGGCGTTAAGTTTGAGGGGCACTGTACGTCACAACTACGTCGCATTCACTGGCGGCCATAGCTGAGCGCGCGACTGCTGAGCGCGAGCTGATAAAGATCTACCACAGTTCATTTGGAACGTGCATGCGACGCCATCAAGATTGCCGGTCTTACCAGGCTATGAATGTGAACTTGTTCTGAGCACGACCACTGAAACAGGCGATGGAGCAGACGATGTCGCAGCAAACGATGGTGCTCATCCGGGCTACCTAGGGGGCGCTGAGGGGATCTACTCTAGATGTTTAGAGTAGGTAACGCGCAGGCCTTGTCTTCTAGGTTGTACTGGCCTAGCTCGACTGGCCGAAATGCGGCGCAAGAAGCGGCGAGCCGACGCGGGTCTGAGTGCGACAGAGGCAGAGGTGTAGCGGACGCGGCAAGCCCGCATCGCCGGAAAAAAAATAAAAGAAGATCCATTGGAGGATCCTCAGGGTGTTAGCATGACCCTTGGAAAACGTCACAGGCGTCCCCCTTTGCGAAACACTAACACTGACCCCTTAACGAAACCAAAAGAAGGCAGCAAAAAATGGAGGAAGCAGAAGAGAAAGCCAAGAGAGAAAACCAAAACAGAAAGCGTTAGCGCTTCCCAAAGGGAGACGTGTGTGGCGTCTCCCAAGGGTCCTGCTAACGCATTCCCTAAGGATCCACCAATGAATCTTTTTCATAGTTCTTATATTTAGGTTGCTAATATTAATAAAAAATTATATATATTTACGAGTGACAAAGGCGTAATACTTCAGCCGACAGTAGAGTAAACAGATGTTAACATCCACTTGCTCTACTGACGGCTAACTCCTGTTTAGTTCAGAACAATAAAAAAAAAAATTCCTCGTTAAATCAGTTTGTACAGCGCTCGGCTACTCTTGAGAGGCTCATGAATGGAAGCCCGAACGAGACGGATTCTTTTAGCCACCTGAGGGCACGAGTTCTGCACAATTTCTGGTTGATGTAAATTTATTTTTACTTATATCTCAATCTCAACTTAGTGAACCTCAAACCAATGAACATATCGAAACAAAAAATATAAATATTGAAAGGTTAAATTCAGTATTGAGTACCAAGTTAAACAAACTGAATTAAAAAAAGTAGGGTTTGTGTTAGGCTACATTTTGTCGAAAAATGAATGCATCGCACAGTTGAAGATGCGATCGAGCCTGGGTTATCGAAAAACGTGGCTATACTGTCGTCTCACTGCACACTAAGCGTTATATTCATTAACAAGAAATAAATAGGTGGAGCATGCGAAAAAAGTTCGTTAGCTAAACTTACGTGAAAAAGAGACGACTTGAAGTAAAACAAAACTTCAGTTTTAATTTCTGCATAAATTTTATTTTCACAGCAGTTTTTTTTTTCTCCTTACAAAATGTTAAATCTATTTAAATTTGCCTCCTTCTTGGTGCGATATTTAGGCATGGGTTGCTATATGAATCACATAATACTAGTGAGCAGCTATACTGAGCATTTCCCTGTTTGTGGAGGTCTTCATGAGCACTGCTACAATGCGAAATATATCTTCTTTTGTTTTAATTGCTATAAAAAAACTAATTTCTCATGTGTAGTAAAATAGGATAAGGACGGTTTTAATATTTCAAAAATGTTATTAAAAGCGAGTGCTTGCTTTTCATGACGACTTTTACCAGTAACGCTACATTGCACTTTCTTTTTTGATTCCCACAAAGTTTGAATTATAAAAAGTTACGATATTTTGAATGACAAGTGAAATAAACTGATAAGAACAGATCACGAAAAGTGACTGCCTCAAGCATTTATGCGAGAGTACGTCATATTCGTCAAGCACTTATAAAGGTGCTTTAAGGTCTTTGGCACCTCTAGAACACATCACGCTCGAATTCACAGGAAGCCAGCATTAACATAATGCATAAAAAAAATGCCTCTAATCTTTTTTTTTTTTCGCCTTTTGTGGTGAATAATATATTGGCATTTCTTAATTTGTACAAATTTCACGATTCCACCGAAGCAAGTGTAATATAACTGCCACATATACCAGATATTACATATTGTTTCCTAATATAAACGCTTAACGCGTTAACACTGTTATCTGGAATTTCGTCTCGTGTGCGTTGCGATCAGCAAGTGTGCGATTTAGTTTTCTTTTTTTTTTTTTCAAGCCATTCTAAAATAAATTGGCAAGTCTTGCATTCGAAGTCAATGAGGCATCTGTGAGCGTATGTATTTTATATCCAAACTCAGTGCATTTACTCTCCTTTGGCAGTGGGGGACATAAAAAAGAGATACTAACCAGCTTTCCAACGTTCCCGCTTTGCCAAGCTCAGTGGAAATACGGAAGTGGAAAATAAATGACACCGCGCCCTACCTTTTTTTTTTCTTTGCATGGATTTTTAATCGTGTTTTCTCTTTTTATCTTGTAAAAGTGCTGCTTTTTCTTTTATTCTTGGG